TTCTGTGAACAGTTTAACATTCCAACAAGAGCTCACTGAATTATAGTGGGGAAAAATAAAGTCATTCTTAAGATTTCAGTAAGAACTATGGAGAACACCACCATTAAATGTATTCCAGGGTTTTGGGCTAGGCTTTTCTTCCTCTCCCTCCCCCTCTTCTTTTTTCTGTTTTATTTCTTGTTTTGTATATGTTGGGTTTTGGTGATTTGTTTTTACATACAAAGGGATGCCTTCTTAATCTGTTTATGGAGTTGCAAGCAATGCATTTACAGATTATTTTATAATTTTCTGTAGTCATCAGCACATTACAAAAGATGCACTAATATGCATCTTTTCATCCTTCTAAAGTTTTATGGCTCAAAACTGGCCACAATTACACCTTCTATGTACCCTCTCCATAGTTTCATAAGACAACTGATGATCAAAATGGGCTGTATCAAAAGCAGTGTGGCCAGCAGGTCAAGAGAAGTGATTCTGCCCCCCTGCTCCTCTCTGGTGAGACCTCTCCTGGAGAGCTGTGTTCAGCTCTGAAGTTCTCAGCACAGAAAAGACACAGACCTGTTGCAGTGAGTCCAGAGGAGGGCCACGAAGAAGGACAGGCTGAAAGAGTTGAGGCTGTTCAGCCTGGAGAAGACTCTGGGGAGACCTTATTGTAGCCTTCCAGTTCTTAAAAGGGGCTTACAAGGAAGATGGGGACAAATTTTTCAGCAGGGCCCGTTGCAACAGGACAAGGGGTAATGGCTTTAAGATAAAAGAGAGCAGATTTAGATTAGATATAGGGAAGACATTTTTTACGATGGAGGTGGTGAAACACTGGGACAGGTTGCCCAGAGAGGTGGGAGAAGTCCCATCCCTGGAAACATCCAAGGTCAAGTTGGACAGAGCTCTGAGCAATCTGATCTAGTTGAAGATGGTCCTGCTCATTGCAGGGGGGTTGGACTAGACCTTTAAAGGTCCCCTTCTCACTCAGACTCTTCTATGATTCTGTGATTTAGATGCTCTAGGAAGCTCCAACTGATCTCTGATATACCCTGAAAAAGCACATTATTTGATAATATGGTGGCCAGTATTCACACATCACTTGTGTTCAAATGTCTATATGACATATCTGGCTGACAGGGGACAAAAAAGCCAATTAATGCTTTTGGTATGTTTGCATCTGAATGCCACCCTAAAAAAATTATGAGAAATAAAGGTTACTTAAGCCGAAATCAAAGACAAAACTAACACTTTTTGCTATCAAAGAAGCACTTCCATGCAATGAAACTTGCATTAGCAGTTTCATCCCCACATCCTTGGCTAGGCAAAGGGAGATAACAAATTTTAAGAATATGTTCCCTTCAGATGGCAACAATGAACCAACCCTTAAACACATACTTTTACATTTCCTAACAATTTGTTCACATATTTATATAAAACTGTATACTATCACGTATCTCACAACATATTTGGAAGGTATCATTTTGTTAGGCACACATCATTTACTTTTCCATCTCTCCTATATCTACATGTTTACAATGACTTTTACAAATATCTTATTGCAATCCTAGTATCAAAACACTGTAACTTCAAAATGAGAAAAACTATCAGAACAGCCCCATCATTCCACATAAACACACCTCAGTACAATAAATCAGCACGTCACCAGGCACTAGTGTGTTATGTAGGTAGCAAAAACTAACCTTGGCAAAGGCTCCTATATCCACTGCTGATGAACCAACTACTCAAAGATCCCAACCTGATTCCTCTTTGTGCTCAATTCTGTCCTAAAATCTATGGATTAGGAACATCCAATCTACACCTACTGGAACAGGAACATCTACTACAGGATGTGGTTCTGAAGTAAGGTTGTATCCATACTATCTTCAAGCAACTAAAAGAATTTAGCCCAAGATAAGCCACCATCCAAAATACGAAGTAGGAAAAAGAAAGATAGTTTATATAGAGTGATCAAAAAGTTAACATGAAGAATTTTAAATACACGTGATCTGATAAATTTAATGCTTTGTAGCTGTAAAAGTTTTTTGAATAAATTACTGCTCATTTTAAACAGTTCTTGTTATCTGAATATATATAGAACTTTGCCACTATTACAAAAATGCAGCATGCAGTTGCATCTGCCCTTCAGTACTTTATTTTAAGCCTCAGTCAATATCAACTTTGAAATCATAATTAATGTCTCAATTTCACAAAATGGAAAATGAGAATGCTTCCTTCTGAATTACTATGTGTGTTCAAACAACAAAATTTTAGATTATTTTATAATAGCACAACAGCAGAATTTATTTTACAGGATGCTCCCTAACTGACATTTCAGAATTTTTTACTCCTTGTACCTCAGATATTTAAAAAAACCAAACCAAAACACCACCCCCAAACTCTTCTTTTGCATAACTTTAGCAAACATACGAGAAGTATGAGCACTAGTTTAAAAGAAACCCCCCAAAACACAAACCCTGAGCCTTGAATCTTGTTAACATTATTACAGCGATATTCTACAACAGTAGCAAGAAGAGGAAAATTACTGCGAATTAACAACAACAATTCCTATATTTAATGTTATTTAAAAATCAAAGTGTTACCTAAGGCAATTACCTTGCAGCCTTTTAATATCTACAGGGAAAAGCCTAAGGGAAAATAATTGACTTTGCTAATTTTACCCTTGGCAATTATAAAATAGCTCTGCATTTCATTACGACTACAGAATTTCACATCTAATTGTCAGCCCCGAGAGAAGCACAGAGATAAATGCATCATACACAAGCTTAGACAAGAGTTTAACAGCACAATAAAATTATCTTGGTAGCAGTGGTTTCAGTTAATGTTAAAGCCCCCTTCAGTTTAAATTCTAGCCTATACGACAGCTCTGCTTGTCTGTAGAGGTTACAGCCTCCCATGGTCAGTCCCATGTACGATATAACGCTGCTCATTTCATTAGCCAATTTGCTGAGCTACCAAATAAATGCCACGAAAAAAGCAGCACTGTGATTTTTACTTTTTACATCAAAGAAAACAAAACATTATGAAGGAAAAAAGTCACAGTTATTTCACACTGCTGAAAAACAGATGCCAGATTTGAAAATTCATCATTTACAAAAGAATAAATACAGTATGTTTAAATCATTGCACCTGTCAAGAGATTTCTATAGCTTGTACTTCAATTTTTCTAACTTTGCTAGTAGGGTTAGACGTATGAAAAAGAATAATTTACTAAGTCAATCAGTTTCCATAATGGCATCCCACTTATCGTATGTAGAAGCTATGAAAGTATTTAGATGTCAGAAAAATGAAAAAAAAGTGCTAAAATGTTTTGGCAGAATTTTCCGACATGCAGTATAATGATTGCTTTAAAAAAAAAAAAAAAGTATTTCTTTGCATTTGTGCTTCATTTCACTGTAGGCTTGTTTCCTGGCAAGTCTTCAGGGATTATACACTGCTGCTGCAATACTTAATGATGTACTAAATGCAAAGTAATAGGTGCTACATATTATAAAAGTTTCTTCTTATGTTGAAACAAAAAATGGATGCAGGGTTAAATCTTTTTGTCTATCTTGAGAATCTTAGTAAGCATTAAAAAAAAAAAGAATGGATAGAAATCAATAACAATAACAAAAACAATTGCACCCCATTTTGGCTATGGTATGACTAAAATTTTGCACTATTTGAAACTTTTTTTTTTAATACTTACTACCAGTTATCACCATACTGGCTTAAGCCACTATTCCAACAGATTGACATCTAATTTTTTGTCTCTTCTCCCGAATCTCAGTTCTATGTTACAAAATGACACCACTTTTGAGAGAAACTGTCACACTCACAATCAAAGCAGTACAAAAATACCCATCTACCATCACGAGGAGCTTTAGCATGAGAATCTAAAACCAATAGACTCCTGAAGGTCCAAGGATTAAAACTGTGTTGATTACTGAGAACTGCACACATGACAAACATTTATTTTACGTGACAATATGGCAGTGATCTTCAAACATATAAAAAGTATCCCTGCAAAGAATTGTTCTGTTTCCACTGGAGGGGCACACTGAGCTCTTCACCCACACACGTAGTTGGGCTTTACACAGGACTGCACAGGGATGCCCAAGAATCTCTCTCCTCCACGGGAGGTTTTAAGAACAAGCTAGACAAACACATGTCAAGAATGATTTGGTGTAGCTGATCCTGCCTGGGGAAAAGAAGAACCACCTACAGAGGTGATCTCTTATGGTCTCTGTCAGTCTCATTTTCTAAGATCATGCACATATACAATTCATTTGTCATTAAAAATGTTTCCCTGTAAAGTTTCAAACAGTTTGGCTGAGCAGCTGGATTGCAGCTGCCCTTTAGAAGCCAGTACATCCACGTTAATAGGGTAATCCAATACTCAGGGGCACCCAAATGCTTAACAAAATAATTTTATTAAGAGTGAAAAGTCACCTGAGCACTGTGTAGAAAAAGAAACGAAGCTTTTTTCTCCCAAGAATTCCCTAAAACAGACAAACCTTTCACAAAACACAAGGTAAAACAAAATAAGAAACCAAATGTGCCTTCAGCTGGCAGCCTGCCAGATGTGTTGTCGTCCAACTTGTCATGAGGATGCCATCGCATATACATTAAATTCACCAAATGAACCACTCATCCATTACTACCTATGGCTACACTGCTTCAGAATATATACTAGAGGCCTCAATACAGTAATTCTGTAAGACAGTGGTAAACACAGAATCATAGAATCATTTAGGTTGGAAAAGACCTTTGAGATCATCGATTCCCACCATTAACATAATGCTGCCAAGTCCACCACTAACCCATGTCCCTAAACATGTCCACAGCAGCAGTAGCTGCCTGTCAATCTATCTACAGCTGTAACGTAAGCAAGCTGATTGTCAAATGATGCTCCATATATACATACGTATCATAACTGCTAATTTTTTTAAGGTCCTCTCTGTCAGAAGATTCACTAATAGTTACTTGCTCTGGCAGTAGAAGAATTTTTTTCTTTTTACCTTGGTATTCTGCAACTGCGCAAGGCTTGTGCAAGCATTTGCCAGAAGAAAATCTCCACTCAAAACAGCCATTTTATTTCCAAACTGCATATCCTTCAGCGGGCCATCGCAGGACTTGAGCTCACCAATATTCACTATTCCACGATGCACCAGAAAGGCAGTGTGGATCAGTTCCGTAATCTCAGCCAGACTTCTTTGACTGAAAGCAAAGAAAAAGTACAATTATTTTTGATGCTATGAATAAAACATAGATTCTTAGGGGAAAAAGACCCAACCACATGTGCTAAACAGGTATTTTACAAATTATCATGTAGCTCTTCTATGCACTTCTAGAAGCTACAACTGAAAGGTGTTAAGCACAAAGAACTATCACTAAGTATTTCCAGGTAAGCCACGGGTACCACAGGTTCATTTGGAGGAACGCTGCCCTTTGTTTGAATTCCTTCACAAAATAAAGCTAAGTAATCAATACAGTCCTCATGATGCTTTCTTTTTTTGTTTTGTCTTCTAGAAGCTTGAGGGACACTGACATAAAGAAAATGCCAAGCAGAAAGCACTGATGGGAAGGAACAAAGGACACATCAGCAGGGGAGTTGCGAGCAAGCTGATCTGAACACCTTAAGAATGCTGCAGTCAATGACTGCTCAAATTGGAGTTAAATTAATAACAGGATACCTTGCAGTTCAATAATACCAAGGAGGGAAGGCACAGGGGGGAGAGGAGAAACAGCTGAGCATTTTAAAACTCTGTACTAATGATATTTCACTGGTTGTTTTAGTCAGAAGGAGCAAAGGTAACTGTCCAGCAAAGGGGCAGACCCAATTTTATTTGGACAGGTTTACAAATCACTTCTTATTCTAACACACAGTGTGCTACATTCTGAATTCAGGGGTTTCAAATCCCTGTGAGAGGCTTGCTGCAGAGGTTATCCCATAGGGGTGTGCCCTCTATTTATTTTCATTTTTTGGAAAAGGCATGAAAAGCATCATTAGCACAGCCCTCTCCTCCCCTCCTCCTCCAATTCAACCCTGTAGCTGAGTTAGCGACTGTCACTCCAAGGAGCCCAGAGATGTAGCTCAGAACTACAACAGTGTCATGAAGAGACATAATAACTGAGCAGGGACAAGGGGAGAGGGGAACAGAGCAATGCACTGGAGCATCCTCCTAATGCTGCAAACCTAGAGATGCACAGACCCCTCTCTTCTGAAACCTCCAGCACATTCACACCTTTTCTGACTCAAGCAGTTCCCTTTACATCATGGAGACTTCACGTATGGGCAAACCCGCAATGCATGCCCTCAACTAGACAGGTGATGAAGGCCTTTAAGTTAAAATTAAATTGCAACCTAGTACAAAGGCATGTTGTGTTTCCTGAGCGTATTCAAAAGTGGCCAAGCACTGATTCACTGAGCAACTGAACTGCTCCATCCATTCACATACCTGCTGATACATGCTCAGCTTAGATTCTGCCTCTGTAGGGGCATAGTACTGAGTAAATTAACACTGTGTCCTCTGGACAGTGCTTATGTGTTGCAACTGCTCCCGTACGATATTAATCTAAAGTAACCTTCTGCCCCAAATCTATCTGACCTGTGAAGAGCCCCAGCAGCAACTGTTTCAGGCCAGTGATTCGTGCCAATTAGCAAGAGAGAAGGGCCAGCGGAGCCACACAGCCTGGGCAGGCATGCAAAAGGGAGATGAGCTGGGGGTGGAGAAGATAAATAGAGTTTCCCAATGTATTTTGTCACACACACAAAAAAACTAAGCTGTTTTAAAAGTTGCCTTTATAATTCACAATTTTTTCTCCACGTAGAGAAAAACAATCTGAAAACAAAACAGCTAGCCGTTCTCCATGTAGACAACAAACCTGAAGGTTGATGCTGTTTTTCAAAGAGGCGAGGGAGAAAGGCACAGAACCTACAGGCGCAGCATCGTAATCACGCTCGGCTCGGCTCTCACAAAGGGTTAATAAAATTTCAAGCTCGGAGAAAAAGACTAACAAGACATCCCGATGCTCCTGCTGTCATTGTCAGGGCAGCCCTTGGAGGAAATGTCCATATCAATTCGGTTTATCAGATGGACAGCTGATCAACATTAAACAGACTTGCTCTGGGCAGATTGAGCCGAGGTACCTGTTATGAATAGCAATGAGAGCCCTCTGCTCCTCGCTGCCGAGCTCTGCCATTTCCGACTGCCGCAGATCCCAGGACATATGGGGATCCCTAGTGACGAGCACATCAAGCTGCAGCTAACTCGGGCGACGGCTCATTTCCCCCAGCTGAAAGCAGGCATTAATATCCCGAGGAGATCAGGCCCGCCTCTGTGACCCCCGACTATTGAAGCAAAACAACGACTGTCCTATTTCTTCATTTAATAAGCTTTTAATGAAGGAAATCAAAATCCCCTCTTTGACTTCAGCATCGCTCTTCATGAAAAGGTTACACAAATACATCAGTGTCATGCTTTCCAAATGCTCAGGATCTGGATGTTTTCATTTCTTTTTCTCTAATCCGTTTGTTCTCCAAACGGTATTCATATTATCTGTGCTAACGAGAGAACCATATTAGGCAGATAATCTCCGTCTAATTCTGATCTTATACGCTGGCTCTTCCACCCTCTCTCTCTAGCAAACTAAAAATCTAAGAACCAGAGCTATTCTAGAAATCCCAGGCTATAGATTTTTTAAGCTTTGGGGTTTTTTTTTGTGATAACCCCCATAATACCCAGGCGCAACTAAGAAGTTCACAGTTTGGCTATGCATACAGGGGGGTTCTCAACACAACTTTGTAGAGCATCCAACAACTACCTCCCCACCTTCCCCAGTTAGGAAGTTGCTATTGGATGGCTAAAGCAATGCTATTATACAGCTTTCTCGATCTGAAGCAGAATTCAGTGATTAAATAATTCTGTATTTGAAAGCAGCTAATCCCAGAATACAAAAAATTAACGTTTATGCAATGCTCAACTTACAACAACATACATACAAAAGCAGAAAAAACAGGGCAACGGGAGTACAAATTCCTACTGCTTCCATCCTGTTCTTGCTCCAGAGCCTGGGTTCACACAATAAAGAAGCTGTTCCCACAAGAATTACTTACATAGCAAGGTAGTATGGAGAAAATAGCCAACATTTTTAAAACACGTGAAGTCTCCAAATGTAAGCAGGCTAAGAATAAAGAATGCTTTTTCACCAAATGCCAACATCCTTCCATCTGTCTTTCACGGCCTTCACCACTGAAGCAACAACTCCCTGCAAACCATCACCAACTGCCCTGGAGACTCCATGTACAGACATCATGCTTCAAGAGATGACATCATTTTGAGCTCCACACATCCCTTAATCTCCTTTCCTTTCTCCCTTTCCAAAAATCAACCTACGTGCAGTAATGTCATTCCCAAGAGAGTGGTACAGGAGCTTGGACAGTACCAGGGAGACCTTACTAAAAAGGTTTGGTGGGTCATAGTCAAGCAGGCACAAGTTCCGCTGTTAGGTGCATTATTTAAGGCAGAATTAATTGTGAAACACAGCTCTTCCGCCTTCTACCCTCTCAAATAAGAGAATCCCAGAATCGTTGAGGCTGGAAGGGACCTCTGGAGGCCATCTGATCCAACACCCCTGCTAAAGCAGGGCCAACTAGAGACAGTTGCCCAGCACCATGTCCAGCCGGCTTTTGAATATCTCCAAGGATGGAGACTCCACAACATCTTTGGGCAGCCTGTAAACAGGACATATTGGCTCATTACCATTTCAAGCCAATTATTATGTACGACTTCAGTGAATACTTTTCCCCCTTCTTCAAGTCTTTGATAAGATCCTCCAGACTTGTTCTTGCCGCTTTTCTTTTTTTTTTCTCTACTTTACAAAAAATATAAATTTACAGACTTTTCTTGCCTGTGGTGCGTAAAAGAGAGCAGCACCTAAGTCATCTCTTGTTTTTCTGCTCTTAACTTCTTGTTCCTGCAAGTTCAGTACCAGTGTAACTAACCTAAATCTCTGTAAAATGCTTGCTATAAAGTATCCCTTAGGTTATGAGTTCCTTAAACTGTAAATGTCATCCTGGAAAGTACAAAGAAAACACTAACTTCATGAGTAATTAAAAAACTCTTCAGCAAGGTCAATTGGAGCTATATTGACTCTAGGACTGTGAAACACCAGCTTGCAGGAAGACACTAGAGAAATGTAAAATTGAGTAATATAGGCATCCTGCAACAAACAAAACAAGTGCAATTTCTATTCTTCCTCCTTGCTCCTCTCTCCCAATGAAGTCACACTGATCCTTGACATTCAAATATGTTTTGGTGAACTTTGATAAACTGCTGAGAATACTTCAAGAAATCTTTTAGATCTGCCCTTATAAACTAATGCAGTAGCTGCAACATCCTGCTGCTGCAACGCCAAAGTAAGGAAAACAGGTTTTGTAGAAACCCCACACTCATACAGCCACCACATCTACAGATAAAAATACAGAACTAATTGAGAAACTTTGTAAATACGCTTCAATCTCAAAAAGCGCATTTCACAATTTCATTTTGGATTAAAATTTCCTATTTGTATGCCTGGGAGTCTGCCTCATCACAGTATCGCTGTTACTAATGGTCTTTTTATGGAGATGAACATCTCAGGCAGAATTCAACACAAAATTTAAAGCCTACACAAGACTATATGAAATGGTAAGGGGGACTGGCAAAATATTGAAACAAAAGTCTGTGGAAACAAAATAGGTTTTGATAGCAAATCTCCTATGCAACTCCTTAAAATTAATTTTACAGTGTTTCTTCCTGGCATCATGAATATCTTCTTTGTTGTTTGCATTATCTTTAAGGACTTGCAGGAATGAAACATTAGCCAGTACAATCTCTTTAAAAGTTCTTGTAAGTGACTTCAGTCCCTAATTTCAAATCCTATCCTAAAAAGAAATAATAGCACTTTGCAAAACATATGATAAAATAGAAACATTAAACAGTGCAATTGTATTGCTGTGAACAAAAGAGTACTTCAGCTGAAAAACTCCTCTGCAGTATTTGCGATGGAAACTCAAGCTCTCAGTAACAGCAAGAAAACTTGAGTCAGTTTTTTTTATATTATCAAATAACTGTCAGAAATATACTGACCCTCTCAATGAATGATAGGTTATGCAAAGAACCATTTAATAATTTCAAATGTTAATAGTAGACATTCTATTTCACAGAAATAGACCA